TGTTAGCCATATCTCTTTTTAAACTTGCCTGCTGGAATGTGAAGTGGACTTGTTTATCTTTGTAAATGTATATAGGTAAAAGGGGGTGGGGGGAACTGAATACATCAGGTGACCATCGGGTAATTGCGACATAATGCACGCTGTGACAGGGGGACAAAGTTGTGGAGTGTGGGGGAGGAGTGTATTATCAGCAGGTTGCTCCTTCACCTATCCCACCGATGTGAAATCAGAGTTGCTGGGGAAATGAGAGATGGGGGGGGGGGGTCTGTGGATTATTCACCTGATAAGCTCACAGTGACGACATCACATTTACCCCCTTTATTTAAGACCAAAACAGGAGGTATTCTCAAAATTCTGATGAAGCTGGTTGTAATTACCAGCGAAACGTCATACTCGCATTGTAATGTTGTCGGTTTACTCCCCAACACACCGGTGTGCTGAACGAGTAACTAATTGGCATGTTTTGTTTATGTGACAAACCTTACTAATTGGCTGTGTCGGGTGGTGGCGAGTTTAACGACACATTTTGATTTAAAGCTTTCGTGACTGCAGGAATTCATATTCTTGGTTCTTTCGGTAAAGTCACGTAGAAGGGAAACAATAAAATAAACAAAATATTTTCTATATTTTTTAAATATTTGTATTATTTTATTGTTTCCCTTCTACGTGACTTTACCGAAATAACCAAGAATATGACACATTTATATTTAGGCGATCTAACCCAAAAAACTCTATTATGTATAATATTGGTTGCGAAAGCCTACTCCGTGTTCAACTGATTTGACCATTCTATTCCACGCTGGTCAGTTCAAAGATACCCACCTGAATGGCAACACACTATAAACGCAGAATATGTATGCATGTATGTTGAACTTCTTTCACACCGTACGTATTCAACATGTTGTCTTTGTTATGCAACATAATATAACAGTAATTACAAATGTAATACTTAAATAAATGGTGAACTCCAAATTATCTTGATGTGTGGGAGAAACTATGGCAGATCCTATTTTCCAAGCCCATCTGAAAATAACTCCTGATTGATTATTTCTATTCTCCAAATATTTCTGGGAATCACTCGAGTTTCTGCAGATCGATTGGGAGCATGTGTAGTGTCAGCAATTCAGAGACAACGGTTTCCAGGAGGCACCTTCTTTATTAACACCTTCACACTTCACAGGTTTGCCCTCACGCTCTCCCTAGTCGTATTAGCCTAGCCTCAACACAACCCTGACCGTGAAACACTGATGGCGCTGACCGAGACAGCCAACAACTACCCGGCCACGCAATATCGAGCGAAGACGGCAGCGACCAAGACGGCGAGACGACAGCGACGACGAGACGAGTCCACTCCCAGAACTGGCAGTCCTGAGCTCCCGCTCTCCACTGCTTTTATGCTACCCAGTATATCTTGTTACTGGCAATGGAGGTCTCATAATATAAATGATCACCCCGAGCCCTCAATACTCTTGATAGTGCGCTGTTTTTGAGTTGTACGCCTTTTGGTGTCTTCTGGTCCAACACCAATGGAGACTAGGCTCTAAGAAAAGCTGTCTCGGGTGTGGACCAATCAAATTCAAGGACGCATATTATTATCAGAGTTGTCTTTTTTGTTTGCATTTTGACTGCTTGTGTTGTGGTTATTGCAAACATGATGCCTTGAATAAAGGTGTCAGTTTTTGTGCCAGTTAAAAGGGTAAAACCTATTCCTATATTGTAAATGTTGTAGATTTACTCTTCAAACGCACCAGTGGGCTGAAGAAGTAACTAATTGGCGTTTTAAATTTTGATTTAAAGCTTTCGTGACTTCAGTAATTCATATTCTTAGTTCTTTCGGTAAAGTCACGTTGAAGGGAAACAATAAAATAACAAAATATATATAAATATAATTGGCGTTTTGTTAACGTGACACATTTTTTTTACTGATTGGCTGTGTCGGGTGTTGGAGGGTTGCAGCACATTTATACTTCCCCGATCTAATCCAAAAACCTTTATTATGCATAATACTGGTTGCAAAAGCCTACGTGTAGAAATTGAGGACATGTATGTATGTTGAACTTCTTTTGCACCGTACATAGCCAACCGTGTTAATCGGAGGTGCAGGGGAAGGACAACTAATTAAACACAAAAAAAGTTCCCAAGAAATTAGTTTTCAATTTTGATTTAAAAGTGCAAAGCTTCAGTGGCTTCCTAATATCGGAAGAAAGAGCGTTCCAGATGACCGCAAAAGCGGAGGGTAGAACAGGAATTTTGTTTTATGATGTACTATGCACCAATGCCTTTCTTTCACCAACCCATACTGACCAGCATGATGAAGTATGGTCAAATAACACCCGCAGCTCGCAGCCACATGGGGTGACCCTCACCCAGAAGTGGATTGACAAAAAGGGCTCGACATGAACATTTAATTATTGTGTATGTTGTAAATTATTCTGTTACAGTCTTGAGGAATGTAGCTCAGTTCTTTGAAATGTATTCTTTTGGGAATTGGTTATAGTCCAGACCTCAGCACGAATTTTACCAGACAGCACAAACCATTTGTTCATCGTACTGTACCAACTTTATGTTTAGCCAAGGTTGAATAGTTTGGTGTTTTTTACGCATGTTCCACTACCTCCAACAATATTATATAGTTCCAGATTGTTGAAAGGCAACACAAAACGTGTTTTTCTGATTAAGGTCATTTCAAAAACTTTTAGGAAACAACATTCATTTCGATTTTCTTGTGTTTGATCCAATTCATTATACACGTGCAACTGAAAAGCTGTTAACCATTTGCCTGAAGTCGTTTTTAATTTGTGTATTTTGCCAGCTGTGATGTAATTCAGAAACACGGACATTACAGCATAAAAGCTGTGCAAAGTGTGGAGAGACAGCTTTCCTAGAGAACGTGAGTCAGGAAAAACTGAACTTCATAGACATCTCAGAAGAAAAGAAAGTGGATTTGTGCATGATGCATGAATAGAAAAGATGTTGGCTGATGGAAAAGACTATGGATGGAATGGCAGCCAAAGGAGAGAACACATCCACCATGGAATTGTATTATCGTGAGCAAACCAGACACATCTATAGCTCTCTGCTGCCAGCCTGGGCAGCAATATAACTAAATATACGAATTAATATCGGGCTTCGTTTGCTTTTCCCCTGGCTTCGGTATCGCACGCTTTAAAAAGTGTTATAAGTTTGACATAGCCTGATTTAAGATGAGGATCCAACAGGTAAACAAAGTTCAAAATGTTTGTTGCAAAAGCTATTACAAGTTACACCAATCATGACGGGCTGAATGTTTGTGATTATTTGCCAATTCACAAATTAGCATTATCATCAGTATGCCACCTCCATAGCTCTTTACTGCCACAGTGTGGCCAGCGATTTCTCCAATGAACCATGATCAGCCATGCTAAATCCACTGCTGGATGATGTTCTTCCCCAAGCGTCAACATTCCTCACTGTCCTGCGATGCCGCAATCCACCCAGCGCCTGCAAACGAGGCCATCTCATGGCTCCTTCTACGCCAGTGTTCTTCACACATTTTCAGAGGGGGCCCACTTTCGCCATCAAGGCATCAGTGTGAGGGCCGCCACGCATTTTAAACCATTGGGTTTGACAGCACGTATGGTCTGTGTGACGTCACGCACCTGGGGGGGGGGGTCAGACATTTGTGACGAGGGGGTGGAGGGGGTTTGAGAAATGTGACGTCACATCAAAATGCGAAACTTTAAATATAAACAACACGTTCTACCTTATGAAATAGACTTTTTAATAAATGTTTTCTCCTACAACATCAGAGTGCAGCGGCACATTAAATACGCACTACAATGACAATCGTTTAAAGCGATTTGAAGCATGTTTTATTTGGGGGGGGGGCAGAGCTTTGTGACGTCATATTTGAGGGGGGGGGTCTGACTTTTTGTGACGCCGTGTGACTAGGGAAAGGGGTCAAAAATCGTCCAAAATCGCGTGACGTCATTTATGGACGGCCCCATAGGTGCTGTGCAATAAATTGTAGGATTTTAATGATCTCAATGTCATTCCAAGCGTGCATCTGTACATACATCATTGCGCAATTTTCAATTTTGTAAAAAAAAAAGTGCTTTATGACTACGATGGCGATGATAGCAACATTTCACAAATTAGCAATAATCAACAGAGGGCGCTTGATTTTTCACGCAAATCAATAACATAGGGCCAACCTCCACGTGGCTCTCGACCGCCAATAGCGTGGACGTAAATGTCACAAATTGCCAATCATTAACAACAAAAAAAACACGCGAGTAACCAAGCTGTAGGTAGCCCTCTACTGCCACGGCGTGGGCAAAGGAAATAACACACAGTTACCGTGTACAGTGCAACGTAAGCGCCGCATTGGGATTTACACGTTAGCCAGACTTATTACAGTTCTGCTGAGAACCTTGGCGCTTTAAGCATTGGGACCGCAGCGTCTGTGTGCACGACGCTGCCTGCTTCGAACAAAGCGTCTGCCGGGGGAGAGAGGTCAATAGGGTAAATGGATGGACGTCCGTTAGCAAAGCATTTGGACATCGCAACCAAGTAGGGTCCGTTGCCCATATAGTTACGCGTTGTTGTAAACACGTGTTGTTGTAAACACGTAACGTCGGCGTTAGGGTGGGCAAGAGGCCGGGAAGAGCCGACGCCGGTTACGTCTGCGGGTGGCGGTGCCGTGGTGCAGAGTGCCGCGTCAATATTTAGGTGGCAGAAAGTTACAACAACAACAACGAGTCCGAGGACGTTTTCTGCCTGAGCTGTGTTTGGACCCCCCCTCCTCCTCTCTCTCTGTCTCTCTCGTCGGTTTCCGTGTTACAAGGGACACGGGAGGCGAGGCCCGTCGGGGTTTTGGGCGGACTACAGAGACGAGCACGTCGTCGTCACTTTGCTGCCAGAGCTAGGAGGTGGAGGTGTAGGGTGCAGAGGAGGTTGTGAGGTGCAGGGGTTGGTGGTTGGGAGGTTTGTGGTGGTTGTTGGGTTTGTGGTGGTGGTGGTGGTGGTTGGGGGGGGTGGGTGCTGTTGCAACAACGAATTCCTAAACGTAAACGTGTCCTTGCGTTTATTTTAGCAACAGTTTGGTTCGACGGCTAAAACCCCGCCCGAGGAAGCTTCTGCCGGGCGTCATCCTCTCGTTCTGCTCCGGCCTCGCCGAGTCCTGGGGGGCAGCACCTGCGTAATTTATATTGAGCCCCCCACAGCTGCGCCGTTCCAGTTCTTGTTTAGGGGGAGTCGGGTGGTGGATTACTTTGAGAGTTAGGGTGAGTCTGTTGGTGGATTACTTTGGGAGTTAGGGTGAGTCTGGTGGTGGATTACTTTGGGCGTTAGGGTGAGTCTGGTGGTGGATTACTTTGGGAGTTAGGGTGAGTCTGGTGGTGGATTACTTTGGGAGTTAGGGTGAGTCTGGTGGTGGATTACTTTGGGCGTTAGGGTGAGTCTGGTGGTGGATTACTTTGGGAGTTAGGGTGAGCCTGGTGGTGGATTACTTTGGGAGTTAGAGTGAGCCTGGTGGTGGATTACTTTGGGAGTTAGTGCGAGTATGGTGGTGGATTATTTTGGGAGTTAGGGTGAGTCTGGTGTTGGATTATTTTGGGAGTTAGGGTGAGTCTGGTGTTGGATTACTTTGGGAGTTAGGGTGAGTCTGGTGGTGGATTACTTTGGGAGTTAGGGTGAGCCTGGTGGTGAATTACTTTGGGCGTTAGGGTGAGTATGGTGGTGGATTACTTTGGGAGTTAGGGTGAGTCTGGTGGTGGATTACTTTGGGAGTTAGGGTGAGTCTGGTGGTGGATTACTTTGGGAGTTAGGGTGAGTCTGGTGGTGGATTACTTTGGGCGTTAGGGTGAGTCTGGTGGTGGATTACTTTGGGCTCGACTCTCCCAAGGCGGTGGTGGTGGAGTCCGTGGGACCCCCCCGACGAGAGCCATGTGTCTGCCGTGCCTCCTCGCCCAGGTGAGTGCTCCGAGCAGGTTCGCGGTTCGGCGTCTTGCTGCTCTGTGACAAACACGGGAAACCATAATAGAGGTTTTATTTCGGGGGGTTAGGTCGTGTAAATATATCAATATTGTGTCGTTAAACCCGCCACCACCCGACACGGCCAACTAGTAAGGGTTGCCACGTGAACAGAACGTGGCCAATTCGTCACTAGTACAGCACTAGTGTATAGTGTAGTGTATAGTAATGTAGTATATAGTGTAGTATACTAGTACAGCCACACCGGTGTGTTGGAGAGCCAAGCCAACAACATTTACAATCTTTGAGTACGACGTTTCGCCAGTAATTACAACTAGCTTCATCAGGCGACAGCCAGATTTGTGGAGGAGTCCACTTGTTGCTGGCCCTACGTAGAGGCTTCGGGTTTTAACGACACATTTATACATTTGACGCGATCTAACCCAGAAACCTCATCACATGTATGATATTGGTCGCGAAATCCTCCTACGCGTGTGTTAAACTGACGTGAAGGCCTTGCGAGGGCTTGTGTTTGTTCGCCCTTCTTCTCCGGCTCTTAACACTGGGACCTAAAACTAAAAAGTTATATTTAAAAAAATGTAAACACGCTTTAAGGAAATGTACCCTACGAGTAATGTGGCAGAACGCCACGACTCGAGAAAGTGGCCCCGAAGCTTGCCATAAAGTAAGGGGACCGTGGTGATCTACAGCCGAAACATAAGATATAAAAAAAAGATTGCTTAAAAAGATATACTTTTTAATGATAGAATATAGTATTGTCATCAGTATGACATACGCGTACCAAATTTGCAGTCGATACGACGTTGGGAAATGGGTTAGAATTGAGTTACAAGATTTGAGCATACGACAACAGACAGAGCGAGTTAACTAAAAGCGTGTAAAATTACATGAAAGCGTGTAAAATTAAATTAAAGCGTGTAAAATTAAATTAAAGCGTGTAAATAAATAAAAAGGTTTGCCGTCTTCACCGGTGTGTGAGACCAAGCAGTTGCAGTGCACCGTAATGAGCACGTGCACCGCAGTAGGCACGTGCACCGATGTTTGGTGTTTGAACGTCTTAACACCTGTAATGATGTACAAGTCGTAACTAGTGACTGAATTTTGACAATACACGGCCCTCCTCTCCATATCCACTGCTGGATGACGAGGAGGCGAAGGCGCCCCTCCATGCTTCACCACGCCGGCAGCATAGATGCGGGCGCATAGGAGTAGAGTACAACACTGCAACTCTCCTCGGTGCATTTACTGCCTTGATGCACACCTCACACGTACACCTGATTATTATCCACTTTACACGTATCGCCCACCTTACTAGTACACCGTGTGCGCATTTCACATGTGTGCATGCGCTAACTCATAACAACTATTTGCTATGAGATCACGCATGGTGGTTGTTGTTAACCACTCACATTGCACAAGGACCCGTGTGTGGTCTGGCGTGTGTGGGGGGGGGGGTGAGGTGTGATTTAGAGGGCTGCAGGTGTTTGTGTACGTCTAGAAAACGTACTCTACGTGTAACGATAAAGTACTGTGGTCTGCAAATGTCTGTACAAGTGCCAGTGACTGTCATTGTTGTAATGCGATCTGGGGATTGTGAAAGACTGTAAGTAGAGAGCCATTGTCAATGTAGGTCCTTACCCAAAGGCAGGTGGTGACGTGTACAGGGTGGTCCAGTTGTCTTGTGACACCCCCCCTCCAAAAAAATTTAATTGGCCCCTAACATTGTTTTTCCTTTGGCATATTCATTTCTGTTTTAAATAAACCATTAAACATTTTTGAGAATTAAATGGGGAGGGTGGGGCCACAAGACATCTGGAACACCCTGTACAGTACGGTATTGTACGACAGCATCACCAAACAATTGTATACAGTATCTCTGCCTTTGGCATTACCCACAGTCGCCTGTACAGCCAGTACACAATTAGCTCCACACTACTACCTTTAGTTAACCATTCATACCATATGTAATCCTCCCAAGCAAGTATGAACACATGTTTTTGGTTGATGCTGCTGCTGCTGCTGCGTTGGCAATGGGTGATGCACAATTAACGACAACAAACCAACTCAACACATTTGTCAACAGCAACAGTGGCCTTTAATAAGTTGTATGTGCCATGACGAAGGGCTGTTGCGCCGAAACGTCGCCCGTTTATACATTTGTACCCTTTGAAGGCGACAGTGTTCTTGACGAATGCGAGTTATTTCTGCTCTTCCAAGTGTAATCGGTGGTCAAATGCCACGATCTTTGTGTGTTTGCGTGACGCCAGCATGGCTAGCAGGCGTGTTGGGTTGCGGTGGAAGAGTTGAGTCATCTTGCGCATTGAGCGGGGCCCATGAACTCCATTCATAGCTCTCAACCCCTGAGCAGTGCCCCCCTACCTTATTACAGACAGGTTCAGACCTTATTGGTCACCCCCGTGCCCTTATAAACTCAACGTTCATCCTACAAAGTCCCATTTACAAGGGAGAAACACAAACATATAAAGAAATACAATGTTTGCCCGTATCGAAACGGCTGTACGCCGCATGGACCCGGAAACTATTTCCCTGTACAGCATCACGGGCTAAACCGTGTGGGTTGACGCGATAAGATATTTTTTTGGGTTAGATCGCGTAAATATATAAATGTGTCGTTAAAACCCGCCGCCACCCGACACAACTAGCTTCATCAGGCGACAGCCAGATTTGTGGAGAAGTCCAACTCTAAATAAAAGGAACGAAACAGGAGGACTTCTCCACAAATCTGGCTGGCGCCTGATGAAGCTAGTTGTAATTACTGGCGAAACGTCGTACTCAAGATTGTAAATGTTGTTGGCTTGGCTCTCCAACACAGCGGTGATGCTGTACTAGTGACGAATTGGCTACTTTATGTTTACGTGACAACCCTTACTAGTTGGCCGTGTCGGGTGGTGGCGGGTTTTATGACACACATACGCGATCTAACCCCCAAAAAACCCTCTATCATGGATGATATTGGTCGCGAAAGCCTACGTGTTAAACTGGGTTGACACGGTATGTGACTTTGTTTTGCCATGCGACTTTGTTTTGCCATGCGGTTCAACCACACCACCACCCACACCCCTCTTGAGCCCTGTCTCTCCAACATTGCCTCCCAACGAGCCGAGATATTGCGCAACCCGCCACTGTAAGTGCCATGCTCGACCAAGCAGATGTGCCCCCTCCTCTCTCTTCCAGCGTAGTTGGATTACGATAAACAATCCTATTTACCTTCCACGGCAAAAGTGACATCCTTAAGCAGAGCACGGCGGTTCCGTGCGGGGTGGGTTGGGGGGGCGACTTGGTGCATCTTGGCAGACGCGACAATAAGCTGAGGATAAGTCGGGAACAGATCGAGGCTTTGGTGGCATCACAGGAGCAAGAGGATACACATTGGGGTTGTGTGCCCCCCCCCCCACCACCAATTCAACAAAACCCATAGCTGTCAACCCATAGGGTTTAACCCCGTATTCTTGTAGAGGGAAATTGAGTTGTCATGTCCATGCGGCGTACAGCCGTTTCAACACGGGCAACAACAAAAAATTGTTTGTTTGTGTTTTTCCCTTGTGATGGGACTTTGTAGGATGAACGTTGAGATTTATAAGGGCACGGGGTGACCAATAAGGCCTGAATTGGTCTATAATAAGGTAGGCACTGATAAGGGGTTGACAGGTACGAACACCGATCCACTTAAAATTTTGATTTAAAGCTTTCGTGACTGCAGGGATTCATATATACAATTTGAAAAAAACTTTTTCAAATTTTCTTGCTGTGGTGTTCACACCTGATGATGATTTCTTGTGTTGCAGTCGAAACGTCGTGATAATTTTATTGTTTTATATTTTTGTTATTTTATTGTTTCCCTTATACGTGACTTTACCGAAAGAACCAAGAATATGAACCCATCTACTTTGTTTTCTATTTTTGAAATAAACAAGTCCTGCTTTTTTGCTCCAGGAAGGAAAAAAATAATAATCCATAGAGTTTGTATAATTATTTAAAGCATGAAGTTGTCACACCCATCCAACCATGTATGTTGAACTTAAGTCGCTCCCTACGTAGCCAACCGTGATATTCGGAGATGTTAAAGCAGTTTGTGATCATTTTTTTTTAAATATATCTCAAGTAGGGGGAACTGCAAAGGATTTATTTACACTGTTCGTAATTATTAATTGAATCGCACAGAGTGCATTTAATCCACTTGTACCTGACCCTGGATAGGCCAGAGAACAGAAGCCAATTAACGATCAAATGTCACCACAATTGTATCTATTTTGAATCAGGTAATACGGCACAGTATTGTAGTAGATAATGCAGTAGCTATGTACCTGGCGTGCATTAAATATAATTGCCTAGAACAGGGGTGGGGAAACTTTTTTTCTGCCAAGGGCCATTTGGATATTCATAACATCATTCGCGGGCCATACAAAATGATCAACTTAAAAATGAGCCTGTTATATTTGGTCAAACATGTAATGAACTCACCCCTAATGCAATGGCTGGAACTGCTTCTCTTTGGCGAGGCGTGTGGTGTTAGCAGCTGGTATTGATGATTTTGTTACTCGCAACTGCTTTTCCAGGTTTGCTCCTGGATTTATTGAATTTCGAGTCCCGCCTGCAGGGCCACACCAAATGATTTCGCGGGCCTCATACGGCCTGCGGGCCGGACGTTCCCCACCCCTGGCCATGAAACCTTGAGTACATTAAAGCTTGGTACTGTAGTCATGTATAACAGGTTTGATAAATAGTTAAATAAGTATTTCTTGAGACAACTACAATGAACATCAATATATGCACACCTATTTCAGGTGGACTGTGATGAAGATTACAATACGAAACGGCAAACAAGAACATAATAAAGGTTTTTGAGTTAGATCGCGTTATTATAAATGTCACAACCCTCCACAACCCGACACGGCCAATAAGTAAAGAACATGTGTCATTTTGATTTAAAGCTTTCGTGACTGCAGTAATTCATATTC